GCAAACAGAAGGTATAAAAATACACCAAAAAATTAGTACTGATTTTAACGATTTTTAGCTTTAAAAACTTGCAGACTAAAGGGCGTAAAAACACACCACAATTAGTCACTATTTTTTAAGCCCACCTTCTCGTGACTTCATCACTCGAAGTCAAAAAAAGAAGTTTTCATACGAATAACAATGTGATTAATGAGAGATTTATGTTTGCTTCGTCAGTCAAATGACGAGAGATTTATGTTCGCTTCGTATAAAAACACCAAAAAATTTAGTATCAATTTTAATGGACTGACAAAAAAAACTCACAGAAGAGAAGGTGTAAAAACATACAAAAAAGTCTGCTCGCCCTCCCTGCTGCTGCATTTTTGCAAAAGGTATTCAAAATCAATGATGATGATTGATCAGAAATCAAAGTATTCAAACTTTTGCAAAAAGTATTCGTATTTTTGCAAAAGGTATTCAAAATCAACGATGATGATTGGTCAGAAATCAAAGTATTCAAACTCCTGCAAAAAGTATTCGTATTTTTGCAAAAGGTATTCAAAATCAACGATAATGATTAGTCAAAAATCAAAATATTCAAACTCCTGCAAAAAGTATTCGCATTTTTGCAAAAGGTATTCAAAATCAACGATGATGATTGGTCAGAAATCAAAGTATTCAAACTCCTGCAAAAAATATTTGCATTTTTGCAAAAGGTATTCAAAATCAACGATGATGATTGGTCAGAAATCAAAGTATTCAAACTCCTGCAAAAAGTATTCGCATTTTTGCAAAAGGTATTCAAAATCAACGATGATGATTGGTCAGAAATTAAAGTATTCAAATTCCTGCAAAAAGTATTCACATTTTTGCAAAAGGTATTCAAAATCAACGATGATAATTGGTCAGAAATCAAAGTATTCAAACTCTTGCAAAAAGTATTCGTATTTTTGCAAAAGATATTCAAAATCAACGATGATGATTGGTCAAAAATCAAAGTATTCACAAAAAAAGTATTTAAACAATTAAAATTTGTTTTTTTAATAAAATTATACAAAAAAAAAAACTATTTAAAGAAAATTTTACATTTGCCAGAAATTGAAATAGTATCTTTAATAATATTAACTTTACTTTCTTTAGTTAATTCAATATTATCTATTGTATTAACAATTTTTTCTTTAAATTCTAATTTATATTTTTTATTTTCTTGATTATTTTGAGTTTCAATTCTTCTTTTATTTTGTTGAAACGGTGGTAAAATCTGACCTGTTTTAATAACTTCTTCAATTTCACATTCAGTAATATACTCTTCGTTAAGATCTTCTTCGTTCTGAATTTGAACAGATTTGGGGATTTAAACAATTGTTGTTTCATTATTTTGAGTGGTTAAAGAATTTTTTGAACATAAAAGTTGATTTATTTTTTTGATTTGTTTGCTTCTTTCTTTATGTTTATTTATCGCTAATTGATACAAATTTTTATGATGGTTAGCAAAATGCTTTTTAAGATTCGATAAATTTGTATCAATAGGATAATTAGCTTCACATTCGTTGCAAATAAGTCTTGTTTTAAGAGTATTATTATGAAAGTAGTTGTGGATTTCATATATATTACGCATTTTTTCTTTAATTTTAATTTATTTATCATGTTATTTTATAGTTTTTCGATTATGTATTTTATTTAAAGAATTTATTAGCAAGAAGCTAAAAAGTTTTTCCATTAATAATTCTATGAAAGGAAATTCCTAAATTGTAAAAGGATTTTCTGTAAGAATTTAAGAATTTTTTGATAAGGATTATTAATCTAAATTCTAATATCACACCAATCATTTTAAGCTTATTTTTTTTTATATATGTTAAGATTTTTTTGATCTTAAATATTTAAAGAATGCAAATTTTTTTTTAAACTTGAAAACTTACAAACAATTAAATGAAAAACAATGTCTCTTAAAAGAACATATGTTGAAGAAGAAATTTATATTGAATCTTGTAAGGAAAATAAAGCTTAAACGAGATTAGAAAGAACAAGATGAAAAAATTGGATGATAAAAAGAAAAAGTATCAGAGAAAAGAAGAAACATATCAGAAAATTATTTCTAATTTACAAAAAGAATTAGAAAATAGAAATTCTACTATTATAGAATTAATCGAGTGTTATGTTTATTTTAACACACATTTTGGCAAATTATTTGAGATTTGTCAAAGTTTATATGAACAAGATGTTTTAAACAAAATTAATGAATCGGTTAGTACTGATTTAGAAGTTTATCAACAAGAAAAAGAAATTCAACAAGAAAAAGTTATTTGTCAACAACGAGAAGAAGAAGTTCAATAAGAAAAAGTTATTTGTCAACAACAAGAAGAAGAAGTTGCTTATCAACAAGAAAAGACTGATGATAAATTAGATTATAATCCAGATACAGAATGGTTAAATTATTTGGAAACTAATTTTAAATTTGTTGTTAAATATTATATTAGTTAGCGATTCAGAATATATTGTTTAAATAAATTTTTTATCTTGTATATTTATTCATAATTAAATAAATAAAACAAAGAAAATATAATTTTATTTTAATAAATATTTTTCTAAAGAAAAAATATAAAATAAAATCAATATGATACAAAGAATTCGAATATATATTTTTAAATAAAATGGGAAAAACAAAAGTTTCAGATTATTATAAAATATTAGATGTGAAAAAATCTGCAATATTTGTAGATATTAAACATACATACAGAAAGCTGATACTTTTATACCATCTGGATAAGAATGTGAATAAACCAATTAAAGAACAACAAGAAGCTGAACAAAAATTTAAACAAATACAAGAAGTATATGATTATATTATTGCAAATCACAAAGAACCAAAACCAAAAAAGAAAAGTTCAACTAAAAAGAATAAACTATCTTTAAGAAAAAAATCAAAAAAAACATCATCAAAAAAACAAACAAAACCTCAAACAAAAACTCAAATAACAACAAAAGAGGAGTTAAAAGAGTTATTTAAGGATACTTTTTTTAAAACAGTATATGATATATTAAATAATTAGATTTTATTTTTCTTTTTATTATAATTAGCGATTGCATTATAATATTTACATTTATTACATGTAAAAAACCAATATTTTTTATCATTTGATCTTCTTAAAATAAGATTATTATTAATATCACAATAGCATTCTTCAGTAAAATTATATTTTAAACTTAAAGTAAAATATTGGAAACAATCTATTTTGATCAAAAAATCTAAAATATTTGTTGGTGTTTTACGATTAAAACAGATAATAGTATTTAATAAAATAATTCTTCAAAAAGTAAAATTTTCAGTCTTAGCGATATGTTTACTAGTTGAGTAAGATATTTTTTTATAGTTAAGTTGAATAAATCGTAAAGCTAAATCATTTAGATTCATTAAAATATCAATATTAAATAATTGAGAGAATGTTTTGATGAAAAAATTTTCAAAGTATTTTTTAAAACAACGGTTAACAAGACGATGTTTGTCCAATATTTTTTTTGGATAGTTTTTTGATAAGATATTATGTATATTTTTATCGAATATAGCAAGAATACAAATATTTTTGAATATTCGAATTATAATTTCTGTTGGAAACATGTTTAATTTAATTACTAACTATTTACGTACGTATTTAAGTATAAATTAATTTATATTAATTATTTTATATCTAAAAAGTAAATTTCAAATAAAGAAATTTCTTAAAAGTATTTATTAATTTTTTTATCTTAGAAAAAAAATTTTATATTGTTGAAAAAGAAAATTCTTATATGAAAAACATCTATAAAAAGGCTCGAAAAAATACCAGAGTTCAACATCAAATCAGTTTTGATTTAATAATGAATACAGTTAGCTTCGCTATAGTTATTCATAAAAAACAAAAAAAAATTGTTTCTTAAAATGTCTATAGACAGAGACATTACAATACATTTTGTTTGGTTTGCATCGATCAATTATAAAAAAGTTCATGAATCATTTATTGTTAAAAATACTATTCCATGGTAGAATATTGATTTCGATCGCTCCTATGTAATTCAATATTTGAAACGAACATCTAAAGAAAAATTTGATATGTTGCAACATAGTCGATATATTAAATTTTATGATTT